CCGGGGACGAGTCGGTCAGTGTGAACGGCGAGGCGTATCCCATCCTCACACCCGCTAAGAATCGATATTAGATATAATTAGATATTATAATCAAATAAATGAATAATTAAGTTAAAAATGAGATAACAATACCGTAGAAGAGGGCGAATTCAACCGTTAACTCAAAGACATGAGCCAATGGCAGGAATGCGATATAAGTATGGCTCCGACTTTCGGAGATAACATCTTTAAGGGCCAGGAGTGCCGTATTGGCCGAGCCGTCGACCATTTGCCGATGTGTGGCAATCGCCGCCTTCGGTGGACCCGTTGTGCCCGACGTATACATTATAACGAACACGTCTTCCGGTTTGGGGGTCTGAAACTGAATGTCCGACATCTGAGTGCCGGTGCGCTCCACCTCTTGCAGGGACTGGAGTCGGATATTGTCGGGAAAACCATTCACTTGAGAGGTAGTGATGTCTTTGTGAAGATTCTTATGCTCAATGTAAACGATTGTCTCAACGGTCGGTATTTGAGTGATTAGTGAACGTATTTTTGGCATCAAATCACACGAAACTATCATTAATTTAACTTCTGTTTGATTTATGCCGTAAACGATTCCCTCGTCACCTGTTTTTCATTTGCAGACATAAAAAATAAAATTAAAATAAATCTCTTGATTAAAACTAAAATCTTAAAATTATACGCGAATAAAATTCAATTGATAAGTTTGTATCTATAATGAAATGCAACATTCAATTTTAAATAAATTTCCATTAATTCATTAAAAAAAATATGCAAATAAAAACTAAAAGGCATAAGTTGTGGAAAATATAAGCTTTGAAATAAAGTATAGTTGTGTGAAATGTAATTATAGTAAACCTGTTTTTACAATATAAATACAAACACATACCAAGATTAGAGAAGAGAGTGACAACACTAGCGCCGAGTTTGGCGACCGCCTGAGCGCACAGAAACCATTCAACCCGTGTCTCCGATAGAATCAATATCTTGTCCCCAAAGGCCGCCCCATTGGCCGCCA